TGAATTGCCAGCTTGTCGAGTAAGGGAAAAGCTGATATAGAATGATATACATAACTTTAATATTATCTCTTGAATTGTAGGGTAGTTTACAACATTTTTATACTAGTCTTTCAGTTGTCTTTTGAACAGATGTGTTTAAATTCTTGAGAATGTAGCCCACATGTGCGATCATTTGTCCTCGGCCTGGGCTGTGCTAGGAACCAGCTTCATTATTACCAGCAGTCCATTCGCATCGCGTGCTACCAGTGGCCTACAGCTCCATGTACCTAGCACCAAGTTACATTACAATTATCAACGCGAATAATCGAAACCCGCCCTGACTCAGACGAGAAACGTGGGGTAAAGCCTATCAATTTGTATTTCCTTCCTCACGATAAAAATACATTTAATTTATATTTAGTACATAGGACTTTCGAGCCGGAGTAGCTCAGTTATAGCGATGGCCTACCGGCTGAGCTGCCGGGATTCGATTCCCGACAGTGGAAAGAGATTTTTCTCTTCTCCACAGTGACCGTACCGTACCCAGCCTCTTATCCGGTGGGTGTCGGGGCTCTTTCCCTGCGGGTAAAGCGACCGGGGCGTGATTCTAACCACTCGCTCTCATCTAGTGCCGAGGTTAAGAATGGTGGAACTATATCATCACTCACCCAAATGTTTTCATACCTTAATTAATTAAACAGAGGGACAACATTATTTACTCATGACTTTTGCGAGTGGATAGCAGGCCTTTGCAAAAGCACACTGGATATGTAAATGTCAGATCATCATATTCATCATTCAACGCATGCCATGGAACCTGTTTCGGTTGGATGATATCACCAGATAATTCTAATCCCATGCTTTAACAGCCTTTCTTTGATTGATCGCAGTGTCAGTGCGGTCTGGTGTCTTCGACTGCTTGAAAACTGTGATCGTGGGTTTGTATCCCACCCAGTTCATGCATACGAGTCCGCATTATTTCTGTTTATGTTGTCCTATGTAGGTAGAGGTCCTGCGATTGGCCAGCTCCTATCCGAAGAGTTCTATCAAGTGATTATAATTTCATCCTGAACTGGAAACGACCAGAGGTCTAATCCGCGAACATTAAGTAGTTGTAGTATCGGTAGTAGAAGAAAAGTTTCTCTTTTCGGATTATATTTTAGAATTATTTTTGATATTCTGTTGTATTCTTGTGAAACGTTTCGCCACTCTGAGCTTAGCTGTCAAAATTTTATTTAATTATTGAGCATGTGAAATAATAATAAATTATTATTATTATCTGTTGAGAGGTAAGCGGACATGATAGATCTGTACGCGTAATCATACTTTACTTAACCCTTTGAGGACTGACAGACAGACAGGAATATTGTTGCTGACCCTCGCCAGCATAGTCATTCTTAGTTCCCAGCCCCGTGGGACTGATGATCATATTTTATTCTTTCATAGCTCTAGGAGTCTAAATATTATATAAAAATCTAGTTCGTACCTCACAGAAAACACATTACGTCTCTGCTACAAAGACTAGCCGGGTAATGCTGTTAGGAGGAGCAGTTACATTTTATTTGAGAAGCACACGAAAGAACAGAAATACACTATGTTGGCAGAATGCGGAATTTTAATGTATTAAAGCAGGTGGTGCTTACAGTAACCACGGGTTAACACGCGAGAAATAGGTGCATGTGGTTTACAAGTTGAAGCTGCACGTTGAGTAGCGATCGGTGCACATAGCAGTTTGATGGAATGGTGTGAATGAGTCATTCTTCCAGTGCTGGTGATTACGAATCCCCTGTTCCGAGCCAACTTTCACTACTGCACAAGAAAACCTACACAAATGTGTACAAAGGCCAACCAAAATATATCGTCAACCATGACGTATACGGAGTGGGCAAGAAGTTTTGGATTTCGATAGGACGCGGTCTAAAGCGTGTAATGTCTTCCTACTCTCGAATGATAGGATCGTGGGTTCTAATCCCACTTGAAGAATGGACTGTACGTTCCTTATGTTTGTGTAGAGGCGTTGCGACGGGCCCCCCCCCCCCCTCCTAGGAGCCTAATTAAAGGTTCGGTTACCACCAGTCGGACCTCGGTTTTTGATTTTGTAGTTATGGATTTCGTAAAGGGAATAGCCGTGCCGGGACACATTTTCTATTCGTCTCACCACTGTTCCCTTTGTCGGCAGTAACATCAGTTTCAAGCGGCCTCCGTAGTCTAGAGGTAACGTTCCCACCTCATGACTCGTAGTACGCGGGTTCAAATACCCGGCAGAGGTCGTCGAATTTTTAAGGGCGGAAAAATTCAGGGAACAAGTCCTCCGGGAGGGACTTTAAGCCGTGGGTCCCGTGTCGTAGCTTTACGGCACGTAAAAGAACCTCATATCTCCAAAGTAGGTCACTGAGCCAAATTACGGACGTTTCCCGCCCAACAGCAGTCTCAAATACCACTGGTAGATGGGGGAAGCATTATAGATACCTCTCAGCTAGTAGAGCCGGTCTCGCTGGCTGGGCGGGACTGATGGTAAGCACCAGTACCGGTAGGATATAGAGACTGGTAGAAATCATAGAGGGAAGCACAATGGACCAATACAGGTCTAAGTGCATGGGGAAACGCACCCTCTCCAATAACTAACTAACTAACTAGCATCAGTTTCAGATATGCCATTGTTACCATTGTGTCTTCCGTTAGTCAGTTAATTTTAATTTTTAATTTTGGAGATTAGGGATAACTCTGTACCACTTCTACTTAACGAGTCGTGTGTATAAGTGGTCAGTAAAGTCATTCACCAGTTCAGTCCCTGTCTATAGTCACACTCTAAATCACGACAATACATTATTGTTTGTTTGTAAATTTAACATAATAGCGTCAAAATTAATGCAGATAGTTATTTTATTTTTGAACGTGCATCCCCAATCACATTCTCGTCTGAAACCACCAACAGTTTTTGTGGGAAACCGTATAGATAAGTTAGAGAAAATGTAAATGAAGAAGGGTTATAAGCAGGGCCCGGATTTTGATGACATTTCATCTTTTTTTCCTTGTATCATATGCGATGCTCTTAAATATATATAAATCTCGGATATGAGCTGCTGGTTACAGAAATATAAGTTTTGTAGGTAATTTTTTGTCATGTTTGACATTTTTAGGTTTGAGGTCATTTTTTCATTTTGGGGGTAATTTTTTGGTAAATTTTTGGGTTTTTAAGGGTATTACTTGTCATTTTTGGCCATTTTAGGGAATTTTTCTTCATATGTTTTCTGAAATATGAATAACACGGAAGCGAAGTGTTCTTTCTTTTCTCTTTTAGGTAATTTTTCCGGATTTTTCGGTCATTTTATAGGTCATTTTTTTTAAATATTTTCAGGTCATCAAAATCCGGGCCCTGGTTATAAGGTTAGCACTCAACTCACGAAGTTTTGTATATACCCATTTATTTTCGTTACAAAGTTTGGACTCATACAGAACTTGTTCAGTGGGTAACTAAACCACGCAACCCTACCGCAATATTCACTGCTTATGCTACAAGTCGGAAGGTTGCGGGTTCAAATACCGATGAGGTCATTGGATTTTCTTCAGTTGACCTAATCCTTCCGGCCGCATTATGGCCCTGGGGTTCACTCAGCCTCTAACAGAAATGAGTACCAGGAATTAATTAAATAATTTTCCTGGGGAGTAAAGCGCGGCCGGCGCGTAAGGCTGACAACCTTACCACCATCTTTGAGCCGATTGTCTAGATAATGTGGGACCCTCAACGTCTCACAACCCTATGGGCCTTCACGGCATGGTACAGGGATAGCTTTACTTTTTTACTTTTTTTTTCATAAAGATTACAACATAGAAGCCTTGGGCGAAGATAACTTTAGGAAACACAGTAAAGCATTGCAGGATACATGGAATAATTACATGACGGGGGAATGGTAAGTGGTGAAAAGTACACTTGGAGCCGAAACATGTTGTGTTAATAGCAAAAACGAATGTGAATGAAGAAATAAATAGTTGCATTATTGACGGAAAATTGTATGTAAACAAGATTGAATATAGCAATGCAATGGGATGCTTAAACACAAGAAGTTCGTATTGTTTGCTTTACCTGCGTGTGAAGCTAACAGTGATATGTCTAAGGATAATATGAATGATAATGGAGGAGTTGTTATGGTTTATTTAAAGATGTGACACTCGGAGCTCACCACTTCATCGCTTGTTATATCACATTCTTTACGTTTCCCAAATAAGGGATTCAAATAATTATGGGACGATTTCTCTTAGGAAATATAAACTGCAATTTGCATAATGTGAAGTAACAGAAGAACTCCATGGGGCACACTTCTTCCAGTGAGCAGCGTGGAGAACAATATCATTTTCTTTCATATCACCAACAGTGGTGATTCAACAACAGAGCTACATAGCTCCTTAGTAACTCTCCACGTAGTACACAGATTATGAATAAATATAATGAGAGGATTGTGAAATTATATTCTGTATCATATGATATTAATGATGTTATAGTAATAAGTAAAAGTTATCCCAGGGCTTAAACATGAGGCCATGAAGATGTATGGGGGAATGGGAGTGTAGTAGCTTCACCATTCTGATCCCTGTCACCAGATGGAGGTGAGTGGTCAGCTTCACGTCCATGCTGCTTTTCTCTAGAGGGAAACAGTCCCTGGTACCGATTTTATTGTATAGGAGGCTGGGTGGGTTCCAGAACCGGTCTTGGAAATTGTAGAGAAGAGATAGATCTCTAGCCCCTACTTGGAATCCACCCCTGACTCCTTGGACACAAAGTCTGTAGCCTAGTCATTAACTGGGCTGTCCTAGCTTCTGATATTGTAGTAATACAATTAAGAGTAAAATGAATATAATGTAATATATTCATAGGGCTTGTGACACACAAGTAATTCCTTACAGAAATGGTAGTAAATTGTCTTGATGCTATCTTTTCGAGAATTTTTCTACTTGTGATTTGAAATTCTACTGTTAATATGCATAATATTTGTCTCATAATATTGTTTTTGTTTGTATGACAGGCACAAAGAAGATGGAATACAAGACACGTCAGTGGCATGAGAAGTGTTTCTGTTGCTGTGTATGCAAAACCGCCATAGGTACCAAGAGCTTCATCCCTCGTGAGCAGGAGATCTACTGCGCCACCTGCTATGAGGAGAAGTTTGCTACCCGCTGTGTCAAGTGCAACAAGGTGGGCCAGCTTAAGTTTATTCAGAACTTTTAGGAATATTTTCAATAGATAACTTGCTTAAGACTATACATTCTAAGCAAGAGGTTAAAAAGAAAAGATCATGACTGAAGAGAGGACAACACATTATCATGACATCAATATAAATAAACATAATTTAAACATTGAAAAAGATAAATACATTTAATGTTGATTCTGTTCTGGATGATGGCAGTGTGTTGAAGTGTATTTTCAATGTTTGAAGACCTAATTCTGAAGTCCTTGTGTATTTGCCTGTTTATGTTTGGTTTTCTGATGATGTCAGAAAACAGGTCCGGTTATCTGGTCTCGAACCCCAGATTTGAAACTGGGACCTCTTGAACATGAAGCAGGAATGCTTCTGACTCGGCTGCTGTGTGTGTGGTCACTCCATATGCTTTATTCTTTTTGTGTATCTTGAATTACATTAAAAAGGAAGAAAACTAAATGATTATAGGCACTGTTTTAACATTCATCAGATGATGAATTTCAGTTCATATGGCAACCTCTGTTGCATGATACCACAGATCTGACAAGTAGATTGGGCGAGACTTGACCTAAAAACGGCTGGATTCCAATTACATTACCTGAAGGGTAAATAAAAAAGGAACCAGTAATAATTTCACAATTTGAAATTAACCTTGTTGATACATTTAAAATTTATTACTGTATGAACACAGTAGTTTTATACCTTCCTATCAGAATACTGACCAATTTAATTTCAGAAGTTCTAAGCCGCTTTACACCACACACAAAGAGATGTGTTTCAGTCTTTCACATTTAGCATGACTACTTGTGTAACATTCTGAACAAATGTATAATAAATTTGCTAAATGCTGAGACTTCACTACTTTGAATTCAACCATCATTGTCTGAAAGTCATATTAAATTTGTCATAGAAAAAATAAAAACAGTTCCGCCGTGTATATTAATAGAATAGTTAATGAGATTTGAGTTACTTGCTGCAGTGTCTATGAAAACTGATAAATTTTTACCAGACTCTGTGGTGTCACATATCAGAAGTTACTGCTCTTTTGATAATTATTGCATGATGGGTTTATTTTCTGTATAGTACAACAGAAATAAATTCTTACATCAAGAATATTTTAATTAACAATAGGTGTAGTGTTTAAATATCTGAATGAAGCAGAGTCCTCCTTGAGAAACTAATAGTTGCTCAGTGAGGCCAAAGAGTTTATGTATTTTATGGAATACCAAGTTTTGTTACCATGTTCATAAGAGCCCATTATTCGTACCTGTCCAGAACTAAATGAATCCTGTCCACACCTTCATGTCCTGTTTAATAAGATCTGTTTTAGTATTGTCCTCCCATCTGTGCATAGGTCTTCTCCAATTGGGAATGCAGTATTTGCGGAATAGTAAGTGTGAATTACGTATGCACAAATAACAACGATCTTGTATGGCTAATGTTACAGTATTATTTTTTTGTTGTCATTCTGTAATATACACAACAGAATGTTTCACTATGAAATACTGCAGCACTAGTTTTAACTATTGCCAGGTTATAAGATTCTGTGTTTTTCAGGATACAGTATAAGTTTATTGGATGATTGCAGATAATCACAAGTGGTGGTGTCACTTACAAGAATGAGCCATGGCATCGTGAATGTTTCACATGCACCCATTGCAACACTTCACTGGCTGGACAGCGTTTCACTTCCCGCGATGAGAAGCCATATTGTGCTGACTGCTTTGGTGAGCTCTTTGCCAAGAGGTGCACTTCTTGCTCCAAGCCCATCACAGGTATGTTGTTTCCTGGTTTTTAGAACAATAGGCAAATCCAGAGTTTGTGTTCTGTAATAAGATAGTTTTGCTGATAAGAAGTTAGCTTAATTGCTCACTATGATAATGTAATCAGCAGGAAAGTATATATAAAATTTTGAATATCACTGTATACAAAAGTTATTCCATTAGATATATGATATAACTCCGTCTTAAGTGCAAACTATATATTATAGGTCTTTCGTTTTGCTCTTTTTTACACACTACATGTTTCCGCCACAGACGGCCATCATCAGGTGTATACACTCACATACCTGTTACACTGCACTTATTTATAACATTTAAAATTTAAAAACATAGGTCTTCCTGATTGTTCACTTTCGTTGCCATTACCAAAATCTACTTCGTTGATATCTTTGTTGTTTACACACGTCAATTTTGATTTCTTTGAATTAGCACTTATAAAATCTTCAGTTCTAATTTTTAAATCCTTTAAAATTTTTTTTCTCTAAATTTTAAAATTTATTAGAACTGAAGATTTTTATAAGTGCTGATTCAAAGAAATCAAAATTNGAAACATGTAGTGTGTAAAAAAGAGCAAAACGAAAGACCTATAATATATAGTTTGCACTTAAGACGGAGTTATATCATATATCGTATAGAGTGCAACAGGATGCTTAAACATAATATTATTCCATTAGGTTGTGAATGCCCATTGGTATTAAACTTGGTTCATCTGTTGGCATGACATTTTTGAAAATATGGGTCAGTCTCATGCATTCCAAGATACCATCCACAGAATTGCACCTGTCTGTCACAATCCTCTTCATTTAAGGCTTGTAACATTGCAGGACTAGGTATGCAGCATTTCCCGAAATCTGCATTACTATAATGATGATCCACCTGAAAATCATAATGCAGCAAACTCACAAAAGGTGCATCATATATGCGTCAAACAATGGAGCAGTTCACAACCGTTCTTGATTGTTTTCAAATCTCAGTATATAAAATGATTACTGTTGTAGGTATTGGAGGCACCAGATTCATCTCTTTCGAAGACCGCCACTGGCATAATGATTGTTTCATCTGTGCTACTTGCAAGACATCTCTGGTTGGACGAGGGTTCATCACTGATGCTGATGACATCATCTGCCCAGAATGCGCCAAGCAGAAGCTGATGTGAACAGCCAGTCTACTCTGAAGTAGTTACATCTGGTTAACTTGAATAAATAAGCTAGTGATGCGCTTGTAACACCAGATTTACTTAATTTCTTGAAGGAGAATTATTACACTTTGAATAATGGAGCACTTATTTGCTATTTATATATTATGCACTACAATTGAGCATATTTAGGAACACTATTGACAACAGAATCACTAGATCAAAGAAATATATTTTTTAAAATATTTGACAAAGGATTTTACTTCTCATATTCATATAGTTTTTTTTAATCTTTGATTATTGAGATAATTATATAAAATGAATGAAATAGTAAAAGGGACAAAGGAAGGTTTAAATAGGTACACAATTAAAATTATTATAATTCTTTATCTAAACTGTTAAGTTTCATACAGATATTTTATCTCATGTAATGGTAGGTCTCAATTTTTTCTCTAATTAACGGTTATTAAAGGGTACAATATGCTTTTAACCAACTTGCCATATTGACAGCATTAGTCACTATAATGAATATTACTCCACTTCGGTAATTAAATTATATATATAAAAGAAATTATCACCATTTAAGAAGGAATTTTTATTTGTAAACTATAATAATTATGTAATCTTATGGATATCAGTCATTTTCTTAATAAGGGAAATGATCTACGTTGTTAATTCTTGACAACAGAATTCCAATACAAAAGAGTATGTAATTTTGAGTATCTGAAACAATTCTTTTGTATAAAGATGTTTTCTTTGAAATAAAATAAGGTTCTCATGTAATTAATAGTGTATTAATATACAGAATGTTGGATAATTCAATTTGTATAGAGTTGGATGTGGTGGTGAATTCTGTTACATTTTTTCAATATAAATGAACGAATAAAATAGTTGCGTGCATAATAGTTTTGATGTGTACTGGTATGCTTTTTATATTATAAAATATTTGGAGGATTTTTCATCACTTGCCTTAACATTTTTGTTATTGAATTCAGGCTATTCCATTCCAAGATGGTATTCACTCGTAAAAAACCATGGAGCTGCACCCAATCAACGCAATTTATCTAAATACATTAGAGCTTGGAAACGTAAAAGAAATCTCTTAGGAGAAATGTATTTCTTAGTAACTGAGAATGCAAGTGCTGGTATGTGCTAATTATGTATTAGGTTAAAGAATCCTATAGTTAGGACAGATATAGTATTTTGCTACGTTACTGAATGAAACTAAGGGTCTGATTGGGGGATAATGTTTATGTGTGTGTGTTGGAGGAAGTGTTACACTCTAACAAGAACATGTACTGTATTTTGATTTGTACCATGAAATTTAAGTGGGAAGGTAGATAAGGGGTGGGAGAGGTCTGTAAAGGTATATTGAACTAACATGAAAATGAGCTGTCATGGCTATATTGCTTGAATACTTAGTATGCCATCAAACTCACACACAAACATGTATACATATGTACACGCATGCATGCATACATATATACATAAATACACACATACATGCACACAAATACACCTGACAGATGTTTACAAATACACATAATTAATGGAAACCACAATAAACACTTATTACATAAAACATGTTATATGTGATAATAAATATAGTTACTTTATTTTGATGAGGTGGCCTTAACTGCTGGTATACTTGCAGTTTTGAATTTTTGACCATTATCATCAAGCATAAAGATTATAATGGGTTAATAATGTGTAACTATAACATCCGTCCCATGATTATATCACTTTAATGCACAATGTCAAGAAACAAAACTGCATGTTTCCATATCATACAACTTTCTTTACCACTTCTTTGTATTCTAAACTGGCAAGATTAAGGAAGTGGTTACTTTCTGACGTTTGATTATCCAAATATCAAAAAGGAGAGAAAGTTTACGTATATTGTGCTATATCAGTTTCTTAATTATATATATATATTTTCTTGCTTTCATGTGTCAACAGAGGCCAATATAGATACTTTTCTTTTTTAGTTTAGATCCATATGTATGCATTTATTTGTATAGAAAAAGTAATATTTTGTGGTGATGTGTAACAAAAATTGAAGTGTGAACAAAATAAAAAACTTACTATCTAAGGGTGCTATGTCATATGGGTATAGGAATGTGTTGGCAAAATCATTAATTTAACTGCATTACTTTTATTGTAGAATGATTTCCTACAATTTGTTGCAAATAATAATGTGTTGCTTTGTATATGACTGTCTAGTCAGGTTGGTCACACTGATGTTCACATAGGATTGTTTGACTGGCATATGCTGTTGCATATTATTGCTTATCTTTCTCTGCCTTTCCTAGAGTTGCTTTTTAACATTCAAGGTATATATTTAGCTCTCATTTCATGTTGCACTATTTTATGAATACATAATAAAACTGTATATTCTGTTCATACACATCATGTTAATAAAGAAATGCAATTTGATGTAAAATGTGGCCTTCATATTAAACATTTAATTAGAAAGTCTGTTTTTCTAACATATTTTATTTATATAGAAAACATTCCAGACTCCTTATTTTTTCTTTCCTCCCCACTCCATCAGTATCATACTGAAATTTTTAATTTTACATGCATGTACAGTTTTCAGGCATATTTTAAGAAACTGTAAATTACCAATAGAAAAAGTTGAAAAATCTGAACAAGTATGCTTGGCATTTATAAAAGCACAAGGATGACAGTGCTTGGACTGCTTAATCAGTTATAGATAACAGTTGAATAGTTACTACCATTAGCCACTAATCATAATTGGAAGATTTAACTTAATATTTAAAATCATTATTGTTGTTTAGGGGTTTTTATATCATCACACAACACACTGATTCTGTTACATATATTAAGAGATTGAATTGAATATATTGACAGTTCAGTCGGTTTATCATATTAAAAGGCTGTATATTTTGGTCATAGTTGATCATCCTAATGTTGTCCTCTGTTGTTGTGGTGTGCAACTATACAAATAACATCACGTCAAATGCAGGCAACATTAGGACTAACATTTCAAACATCCAATCTTCTATGTCAGTCCGAAGTAACGATAGGGTGGCGCGCCATAGCTAAAGCGGTTAGTCGCTGGCTTCCCACCATGGCAGCCCAGGTTCGATCCCGGGTCTGGTCAAGTGGGATTTGTGGTGAACAAAGTGGCGTTGGGGGGCAGGTTTTCTCTGAGTACTTCGGTTTCCCCTGCCAATCTTCATTTCACCAATTGCTCCACAATCACACTCACCCATCATCTGGGGCTGGTACAACAGGCCAGAAGTGGCCTCAATACAAGGGACTTAGTCCCATCCCACTAGCATTAAAAAAAAATAAAAAATAAAACAGGAAGAAACAAGAAATTATGATCAGATTTACATGAAAATTAGGAAATAAGAGCTACAAGACAACAAGCAGGAAATAAAACCAAGACCCCACCCCCTCCAGCACATCGACACAACTGTGGAGGATTTTGCACAACAACTAGCCAACATTAAAATTTAGTGATGTGTTGCCCTATGGATGATGCCCCTCCCTCCCCGCCAGCCGTGACGTGCTGAGCGGAGCCGAAGTGAGCCGAGTCCCAGCACATTGGTCGCTATGCAACGCAAGTAAACAGCGGTTGCTATGCAAAACTGGTAAACAGTGTTGCGAGAGACGACTGTAATAACAGTGGTGCCTATTACGTGGTTGTTTTCTGTGTTGTCTGAATCAAGGCTAAATAATGAGCAGCAAAGACTATTCACAGTTCTCAAGTTCTCGAGTTTATGAGACAGTTACGAGTTAGCCAGGCAGTAAAACCTTCAGTAAACCCGGAAGCTAGTGCAGGAGTCATCTAGTTGAGAATAAGGGACAATGAGTTCTGTGAGAACAATGCAGTGAGGTTGTGGGTTCCATGAAATGGTAATTTATTCGGGCACTGAGCAGCTGTTTGCAGGGAGTCAGCACAATGAACTTGGTCCTGATGTATCCCATCAGTGTAGAATTCGGCACCTGTAGGCCGTAAATATACAGGTGGGCGGCTATGTAATGTGGTGGAGATTTCTCTGCAGCCAGGGACCATACAACAGTGCGTATAAGTTCAAATTAAAATTTCCATTAGTAATTCGGGCGAAAGCAAAACGTTTAGGCCAAGAGAAAAGGAGTGCCACGCATTGTACAGCATATGTATAAATGAACCTCCCCTCCCCCCTCAAAAATACTAGTGTATATCTAGGTGCTTGCTGCTGGCACCTATGTATATGCGATTGAGAGCAAAGAAGAGTGTGTTCTCAGAACGCTCCAGAGAGGTCTGGATGTGATTGAGACGCAGTGTGAGAGCTGGAACAAAAGAAATTAAATTCTATGTCAAGAGAGTTAGATCGGTTGAGTGTCATCTTATATTAAATGGACAAAGAACCCCCTTCGTGAGTGATGTACAACGTCTTTATATTTTTCAGTAAGAGAATTAGATACAGAAATGATCGAAGTCAATGCTTCACAACATTTATTAGAGCATGTTCCTCATTGAAAAGTGAGGGATTAAGCTCTAAGATGAAATGTACCCTCCACAGAGCATTATTATGTATGCAATGTCATACCACGTTTTGAAAGTGCAGCACTTGGAAAGCAAGGATCTCTGCAACAACACCAATATCCCAAGGCGTAGAGCGGTCAGCAACCAGAAACCACAGAAGATCGTGAAATTGCAAATGTTCGGAATACCTGAATAAGGTGAAGCCCGACTGAACACGACGATTAAATTTTGCGGCGGAGAAGCTTATGATCGTTGAGGTGACTCAATGGCCGGTCTAGCATGAGGTAAAGAAAATAAGGCAGAATCTGTTGTGCCAGCAGCAAGCACCTAGATATACACTAGTATTTTTGAGGGGGGAGGGGAGGTTCATTTATACATACGCTGTACAATGCGTGGCACTCCTTTTCTCTTGGCCTAAACGTTTTGCTTTCGCCCGAATTACTAATGGAAATTTTAATTTGAACTTATACGCACTGTTGTATGGTCCCTGGCTGCAGAGAAATCTCCACCACATTACATAGCCGCCCACCTGTATATTTACGGCCTACAGGTGCCGAATTCTACACTGATGGGATACATCAGGACCAAGTTCATTGTGCTGACTCCCTGCAAACAGCTGCTCAGTGCCCGAATAAATTACCATTTCATGGAACCCGCAACCTCACTGCATTGTTCTCACAGAACTCATTGTCCCTTATTCTCAACTAGATGACTCCTGCACTAGCTTCCCGGGCCTTGTCATGTGGGATTTGTGGTGAACAAATGTGGCACTTGGACAGATTTTGTCCAAGTACTTCGATTTCCCCTGTCAATCTTTGTTCCACCAACTGCTCTACAATCACCATCATCTAGGATTGGTACAATAAGCTGCAACTAGCCAAAGTACCAAATTGTCTCTCACTCCTACAGGTACAGGCCTACAGGTACCGAATTCTACACTGATGGGATACATCAGGACCAAGTTCATTGTGCTGACTCCCTGCAAACAGCTGCTCAGTGCCCGAATAAATTACCATTTCATGGAACCCGCAACCTCACTGCATTGTTCTCACAGAACTCATTGTCCCTTATTCTCAACTAGATGACTCCTGCACTAGCTTCCCGGGCCTTGTCATGTGGGATTTGTGGTGAACAAATGTGGCACTTGGACAGATTTTGTCCAAGTACTTCGATTTCCCCTGTCAATCTTTGTTCCACCAACTACTCTACAATCACCATCATCTAGGATTGGTACAATAAGCTACAACTAGCCAAAGTACCAAATTGTCTCTCACTCCAATAAAAATAATAATAAAATAATCCTGTCCACACCCCGCCCCCTTGGCTCCATTTCTCCCAACACCCATCTAAATATTCTATTTGTATCCCCAACTGATCCTTCAGTTTATCCCACCAAAAGACCCTTTTATTCCTCTCCTGTGACAGAGGTTCCCTTGGTTCCTTACTGTTGTTTTCTTCAAGTTTTTAAATTTAAATCGAGAATTGTGTGGGAAATTGTTTTCTGACACACATGGGTCTTGTTTATGTGTAGGTAAGAATGAAGAGGCATTACTTAATAATTATCTTGCAAGCTCAGGTTTTCCACCTCAGGGTGAAACTCTGATAAGCAGACTAATTATCAGGATTGAATGTGGGTAGGACTATTTATGTAATTTCTTTACCTATTTTGTTTTTGTTACATTGTTATTCACTTTTGTTGTTATAGGTGTATTCCTTCTCTTACTTTTGCCGTATGATCCTACCTTTACTGAACTGGTGAACATGAACATAAGATTTTCAATAGTAATTGCATTTCTTTAACATATATTATTAATTTTTGATATATAATCATATTCAATACTGAACTGGAAGATGAATATATACCAGATTTTCAGTATTCATTACATTTTTTGTAAGATATGTTCCTTTTGCTATATAAACCTTTCTATTACTGGACTGGAATATGAATAGATACCAAATTTTCAATATTCATTATATTTCTTTAAGATATGTTATTATTTCCACCATATTATTCTGCCCAGAACTGAACTGGTGAAGATGAGTATGTCAGATTTACTTATATCATTAAATGCAGTCTTAATCTTGTTGACAAGAGTGTATTTCACATTCTCGAATTCCGTCATTCTAATGAAAATAATAATAAATGGGAACATGAGTATTGTTGCTTACAATACATGATTTATAATACTTAAATGTAACAGAAAAACTGTGTTCTGTATGGCTTTCAAGTTTAAGTTATGAGGAAATTATGGGGTTTAATATATGTATCTCTGATGGAAACAGAATTTTCTTTCTAGTTTCCCCACCTTCAGCTTTCCTAAATACAAGTATTCCATGTATGTTATAGTTCACAATGTTCAGTGCCTATGGTTAAAGAGGTGTTTCATGTGAAAGAATGGTTACGACTTTCCAGGCACTGGTGAGAAACTTTCTCCAGATAAATAATTTGCAACCTAATCTCTTGTACTCCAGAGCTGCAGAGGCTCTTATTCCGTTGTTATTTTTTTTTTTGAAAAGGGTGGAGGGCCCAAGTTTAATAGCACTTCACTCAAATCCAACCCAAAGGATATGGGTGAAATGATATTGAACTTACTTATGGAGCTGAGCCCTTCTTGAGAACCCGCCAATTGTGCAGCTACTCAAGAATTTTCCAGCCTTTTATGGAACCCGAAGGTTCATTACTGTGTTCACAAGAGCCCTCCACTGATACCTATCTTAAGCCAGATTAATCCAATCCATACTATACCATCCTATCCCTCTAGGATTTATTTTAATATTGTCCACCCACCTACACCTTGGTTTTCCCAGTAGTCTCTCTCCTTCAGGCTATCCCACCAATATCCTATATGCATTCCTCGCCTCCCCCATTCGTTCTAAATGCCCTGCCAACCTCATCCTCCTTGACTAGTGGTATTGAACACAGTTCAAAAATAGAACTAGGTTGGGGGGGAATCCTCTGTAGTACAAGAGATTTTGTTGTAAAAGTATTTATTGCTATTCTAGCCAAAAAAAGCCGGGGTGGAGAGGAATCATTCAAAATAGTTGCTATGTTAGCATGCCTTCTTACCGATTGTGCTCTCGGCCCTGTCGGCCATTTTGAGTTTAGTTGATGTAAGGTGCGTAGAGATGGAAGCAGCATTGCTTCGTGTTGCCCACCAATAACTTGGGAGTTTCACAGGGCTGTTCATGACGGCGAGAATGATGTAGTTTTATTGACGAAGTTTTAGCATTATTTTACAGTTTTGTTGGAATGGAAACAGGAGGTAAGAATAGGACGACTCGTACTTGCTAAGTAGAGAATATTTTGTAATATGAATGCGGTAGTGTAAAGTAATTTACTAATATTCGATGTGATTTATGTGTTATCAATGTTGGCAACAAGAGGTTCCTTCCAAGCTATCCAGGCCAACGAAGACCCAGGCGTTTGCGTGATACGTAGGAATTTCAAACTGACGTTCAGTTTAAAGGTAGGGCTCCCAGTTTACTTCATATGAGTAATACTTTAAAATAATTGCGATAGTTTACGTCAAGAAATTAGTACGATTGAATTTGGTGTGTGCTTATGTACACCAGACCACCATTGATTAGGTCCAATGCTACTTCAGTTCGGTAAACGGGTTTGATCAAGATAAACCGTGTCGTTCCGACGTAAGTGGCATTTGTATGAGTTTTTGTGTCTTTGCGTTAGCAGGAATTGTGTTTTATAAAACATTAAGGGTATTCTTCTTCTTCTTCTTCTTCATTATTATTATTATTATTATTATTATTATTATTATTATTATTGTTGTTGTTGTTGTTGTTGTTAAAGACTGTTGATATATGGTTACATAATTTTCCCTAATAGTATCAGATAATCATTCGATCTGTTCGTACAGTACCATGATAATCAATTTTTAAAAAGGATTAAATTGCATAGCATTTCATAACACAAAAGAGACATTTAGTAAATTATTTACCAAATTTTATTCACTTTATTTTAAATACCATAGATCCTTTCAGGTCAAGCATGCCATAGTATATAGAACATGTCAAAATACATAAGCACATACATAAAAACAATGGACCCATCAACATGCAATACAGTCACAGTACAAAATTTGTACATAAAATATTCAAATATAATCAAATTTATGTAGATATATGATTATCATTGTCACGATCATAAATTAATACAAAAGACATATTCATAATATAGATGTTTGATTCAATTATGTCCATCACATAACTACTTAATTTAACAGCCCAAATATAATACATTTCATCAGGATTTAAAAATTAGAATATATAATAAAAATTCAGTGTATACAATCAGTCATTTCATAGCAAGAACCTTAAAATTTGAAAGCTACTATTTAACATATTCCTCTACCTGATAAAAGGAAATAAACTGTAAGTAAACTGGTCTCAGTCACTGGTCCAGTGATTGAGACTAGCTCTAACAGGCTCAACTGAATAGGTTTATCCTTCCCCACCCACCTGAAGACGGAGACTGATCGAGTCTCCGAAACATCGTGGTCTTTTGTCTTTTACATACCAGACGATGGATGAAGTCCAAAACAAGCAAAAAGGAGTACAGTATACACCAGTGTCAGAATCCTTTCAAGTCTAGATGATCCGTTACATTCTCCAGAGTCAGCATTCATGCTTATTCTCACATTCATTAGGCTCTGACAGCCACAGCAGTTATTATGACAGCAGTTAAATCAACTATGACAACAGAATTTATTTTTTCTGTTATTGCTGATGGATTATCTTTTTTTGCTTAAGTTTGACGTGTAATACTAAATTCTGAATTGTTGTGTATGGTTTGTATTATTGTGTATTTTTTATTGTATGTTTGATAGAGCCATCAAACACAGAGCTTCCTACACAATGGCTCAACAAACAGAGGCAGAATTTTGTATGAACAGTGCAATATCTCCAGCCTGGAAACGTCCAGATGAAGTGATGAAACTTCACCGATTAAAACAGAAGAAGAGAGCATTACAGGCTCGAATGAACAAGACTGATTTACCACAGGTGGACGGGGAAAGGTATTTTAATATTGGAAGTGAAGCAATACCTCAGAAAAGGAAAAACCCTTTCAGGTAAACTTATTGTAATTAACTTTTCTTCCTTGCTGAAGCAGCTGACTGTAGAGATATGTATGATATTTGTGACATCACTTGTTACATTATACCAGTATTATATCAGGCATTGTCCATTGTGTGACGTATATTTGATATATACAGTGTTTTGGGAGTTGGCATTCTGTGGAGATGAAGGAAATTTATGACATTCATGGAGACCACTTTAGATTTAAATCACCAAACATAAATCCTGCAGAAAAGTGGGAGAGATGTCAAGGTCCAACACAGTGGAGTACTCCTTGAATGAGGACCATCGAATATAGCGGGATAAAGCAGAAATTTGCAAAGAGGAAACAGGTATCAGTAGGACACAGAAGGAGTCTGTAATCATCAGAACTACAGAACTGCTTATGAGGCATGGAGGTAAAGCCATGAGTAACGAGTAGTGCTGTAATAGGAACCCTCCCTGAGCTGCTCAACTGGTTGGATGGTTATGCTGATAGCCTAGTATTTGTAAGGTGTTCTGTTCAGTTCCAGCCATTGCTACACTTATTAAAAAATCACAGGGAAATGATGATGATGATGATGATGATGATGTCCATGGAGCAATTGGTGGAATAAGAATTGATGAGGGAAGCCAAAGTACTTGGCAAAAACCTGCCCCAGTGACACTTTGTCCATCACAAATCCTGTATGACTTGACTTGGAACCCAGGCTGCCATGACGGGAATCCTGTGAGCTATAACACAGTCTAACCAGTCACCTGAAAATGGGAGTAGAGCCAGCTCCCTCAGTACTGAGCATCTTTTCACATAAATGACTACAATGTGGGTCCTGGTCAGAGATGGATGTATTAAACACTTCATCCTTTTATCTGTAATTCTTTGCAGGATATTTACATGTGTTTGCAGTTGGCCACCTGACTTATCTTGCATCATCATGTACCTCTTCTTGGCTACCTACCCCTTCCCCTTCACCATCCATCTTCTGGCTCCTCTTATTACCTCATGGGACCATTGTGGGAGGCAGGCTAGAAATGGCTTTGAGCTCAGACTCAGCCTGCCTGGAATGCTTCTTCATATAGCGTTTCGCTGGACTAGAAACACAGTAAAAGATTTTCATATGACAAAAGCAGCAGTGACAACAGCATACTGCAGTGCTTGTATTTACACAGTAATATGCTTTGACTGCCGGAAAGCCTCCGTAAGCCAAACTGGAAGACAGTTGAGGGTGAGATATAAAGATCATATTCACAGTATTAGATTAAACAGGGATGATTCAAAATTTGCTTTACATATTCTCAAAAACAGACATTCCTACAGGTCCATGGAACATATTGTGACAAGGGATGGGTCATGAACGTGAAAGCAAATATACATGTCTACCTTCTGGACAGCTGGGGTTCAGTTTCTGGCAGACGCAGCTTCTGCAATGACTTTGGCCCCCCACCCAGCCTCCTGTCCAGTGTGGGTGCTGGGGTGTGAAGCTGACCACTCACCTCTATCTCTTGCCAATCACAAGAAAGGTGGAGCTATACCTACACTTGTCCATATGTCTTCATGGCATGTTGCTAAATTATTTAAGGATAGGACCAACTTACCTTTACGTTACATATGACAAATTGATTTAAGAGCAGGAATGTGAAGATAGGAACTGCCTGTTTGACCTTCTCCATAATACAAATGGATGAACCTAGAAATATAAATACCAATCCATACTTGAAAGGATATCTTTCACACACCCACTGGCTCAAAGAGTGTCAACTCCAAGCAGGCCAGAGTCAGCTTCATGTACCTACATAACAGAGGTCTCATTGTATGCAACTTAATAATTGCATATTCTCTGCATTGACTTCTTTCCTTTTTTAAAAAACCTTTTTATAAATTTGTGCTCCTTTCTCTGTTTTCTTATATCTGTTTTAAATTTTAAAGGCAGAAACCCAGCTGTCCATAATGACATGAACACCTGTCGTTCCATGCTGTCATCTGATTAATTCTCTCTGTGATTTCCGGAAGAATAGGATCTTATAATTGTATAAAAGAAACTTGGTGCTATGCCACTTGTTCACTCATTTTACAATGAATTTTTTAAATGTTGTGAACAATCTTGCAAATAACCTAGATCAAGTTTTACTGTTGTATTTAATGGATATTCCTGAGGATACATTTGAATAATGAAACATGTTACATCACCTGTTAAGTTAAAATAAGTACTAAATGACACCTTATACTGTAATTTTACTATATTTTATATCTTTAATGTACCGTGCATTACAGCTGTGCACAGTGCAATGTGGAAATATGTGTTAGCAGTTTATTGCCCATTTGTGCCCCTACAATTCAACATGGAGTAGATAAAACAAACAAAATGGAAGAAGTATCTTTATGTCTGATGTACACACACATATATCCATTTTAAATGCAACATATTCTCTAGCCACCCTTCTTCCTCACTGTGTGTTTCAGCAATATACGGCCATCATCAGGTGTTGTCTGTCTTGCTAAAATTGTTTCACTGCATGTTGAAGTTATTTATCATGTGCAAATGTGATATTTCCTAATTAAAATTATTAACAACTTCATGCTATTTCCATTGTGGTTGTCATCCATTCATTTAAAAGATATTTGAGAGTATTTATCGTTGGATTTAGTCACACTGCATTCCATTTGTGGTGTGGGTATGATGCACATTATTTGTAGAGTTCATAAGGAAGTCTCTGTAGTGTTATTATCAGTGTTGTCATGTATGCATCATTGGCTTGTAGATTTTTCCTTGCTGTTAGACTAGTTATGTTGTTAAGTGGGGTTTGTGTTTATATAGATTGGGATACTGTGTACATACACAGACCAATTAACAACCCAATTACACAGGCAGTGTGAAGAACCTACAGGCAAAGGGGCATACATGCGTAACACCCTCGCGGCAAAGGGAACAACACTGATAACACTACAGACACTACAGAGACATCCTTATGAACTGCACAGATAATGTGCTTGATACCCACACCTCAAGTGGATTGCAGTATGACTCAATCCAACAACGAGAAATGCTCTCAAGCAAATATCATTTAAATGAATGAAGGGCCACACCATAGCTCAAGTGGTTAGTTGCTGGCTTCCCACTGCGGCACCCCGGGTTCGATCCCAGGTCTGGTCAAGTGGGATTTGTGGTGAACAAAGTGGCACTGGGGCAGGTTTTCTCTGAGTACTTCGGTTTCCCCTGCCAATCTTCATTCCACCAATTGCTCCACAATCACCCTCACCTATCATCAGGGGCTGGTACAATAGGCCAGAAGTGGCCGCAGTACAAGGGACTTAGTCCCACCCTACTAGCAATAAAAAAATGAATGAATGAGTGTATGATAACCACAATGGAAATAGCTTTAAAATGTTAATTAATTTTAATTCCAAGCTTAATTCATTCTAATTAGGAAATATCACATTAATATGCATTATATAAGTTTGACATGTAGTGAGGAAGAAGGGTGACCAGATAATAAGTTGCATTTAAGATGGAAATATGTGTGTACAAAAGGTACATTAATGGAACAGGATGCTTAAAAATTAATATTATTTATATCTGAAGCAAATGAACAAGAAAACCAAGAATATGTTTGCTGCTGGAGTACATGTTTTCACATGTTTTTCTTACAATTTTATATTAGTTTTGCAAGTGATTTTAAGTCAGAGGATCACAGATTTATAAAATAACATGTAATTAACTTTTTTAGCTGCCAGCAAGGCAAAAGAGTGAGAAATGAAGACATGCAAGCTATCAGATCCAGCAACCTAGACTTGTCTTCTGATAATACACTGTTTCAATTGCTCAGTCCAAGCACCAAGTCACAGTCGAACATTGAACATTTACAGACTTCATTTGCAAGTGTTCTAAGTCAACTTTCCAGAAACTATAATGAGGTAATTGTAAAATATACATAGATTCAATAAGATTAATATTAGATGACGTATACTTAGATTAAATATAAATTCAGAAGACAGATCAGAACATATGTACATCTAAATTTGCAATATGGTGGTAGTTTCAGTGTGAGTATTCGTAGTTCTTTTCTTCTTTTTCTCTAGAGTGGAATGTATCAGTATTAAAGTACATTACTGCATGTGATAAAGCTATAAATTAACCTGCTCCCAGTTTTGCTTTTACTAACAGATTTTACTGTATGAATTAGTAAAATTTATATCTTCGCTCAGGAGGTGCAGTGAGCCTTATTTGTGACTTCTTATTGAACAAGAAGAAGCAAAAATAACAGTTCTCAAAATGTAAATAAAAGATATTCAGTCACATGCTTATTATGAACCATAACACAGGTATACAATTGTTTACTGTTATCAACACCTGTACATAATTGAATGATTTAGAATATTGTCACATGGTAGTGGCTGGACGCAGGGTTTGGATTGATTATTGAATTTATTGGTTGCTTACTACTCGTAACTGTGCATAATTATGACAGTAATTATAGCAGTAATTTGCTGCTCTCCTTTATCAGCACAGTCATTCTTTTCTTTGGATCCCATGAGATTCATGACCATACATTTATGTCTCATGACTCAGAGAGTTATGCAGTTATGGTTAGAAAGTAGTTGCATGACTCCTGTTTATCCTCCCTGTATAACTTATGCTCGGACCCAATAGAGAACATTGTTTCCAACAGTTCCTCTCTTTTTTTGTATTTATTGCTCCGGGGGTGTGTTTACTGAGCTTGCCTTGCAGTGGATAGGTGCACGTGGTAGCATGGTTGAGGCAACGTGGTAGCATGGTTGAAGCACCATGCTATAAGCCGGAAGGTTGCGGGTTCAAGTCCCGATGAGGTGTATTTTTTTAAATTGACGTGATCCTTGCAGCTGCACTATGGACCTGAGGCCGACTCAGCCTCTAACAGAAATGAGTCCCAGGAATCTTCCTGGGGGGTAAAGGGTGGCTGGCGCGTAAGGCTGACAACTTTACTGCCATCTGTGAGACGATTGTGTAGATAATGTGGGATCCTCAATGTCTCACAACCCTATGGCCTTCCATGGCCTGTTACAGGGATATCTTTACCTTGCTGTGAATATCTCTCTGGCACTTCTCTGACATCACTACTCTGGCTTTCAGCCATTCTGTCATACCTGTGTAAATAAGCTAATTGTACCTAACTCAACCAAACTAAACCATACCATACCAGCAGAAACCACATTATGGATCTAACTAATGACTGAATAATACTTAAAATTGGAAACTTCCTTCAGTATTTGCTAGTGATTAAATGTTACAGTTGAGTAGTTAGTTTTAGGATATCCCATGTTCAGATCTATGTAAGGAAACAGTTGTCCTGCCTGAAATTTCATGGCCATTCTAGGTAAATGCCAGGATGGCATCCTAATTGAGGCTTTGACTGCTTCCTTCACATATGATACTACACAGTCTGAGCTTTTGAAGAATTTTTTTTAAAGAAGCCAGGAATAAAGAATAATATTTGCTGGTTATGTATGAAGAAGCATAAGGCTGTTAAATGGCGTGATTTTGTTCTTGAGTCATTATTCAAGCATGAAAATAGTTCCCCCCCCCCATTAATTCAAATCCATGACAACAGATCTTAAATATGATCCCCTTTCTCTTCTCATGTGCTGTCATGCTGTACATCACTTCATGTATTTGTGACATTTTTTAATGTAATGTTAGTTATTTTGATGTCAGACTGACAGAGTTAAAGAAGTTTGGGTAAGGATTGACACACCTTATAATGTACTATCTAACGCAGTAACTGCCTTCTAAAAGAAGTTATTAAAAGAAGTTATTGAAGGAAAGATAGAGGGGCGGATAGAAGTGACCAGATGACGAGGAAGAAGACGTAAGAAAATGCTGGATGACCTTGGGGACAGACGAGGATATTCTCATTTGAAGGAGAAAGCTCTAGATCGCATTAAGTGGAGGAATTGTTTTGGAAGAGACTGTGGACCTGTCGTCTGACAGATTACTGATGAGTGAATAATGTACTAATTGAGTGCATGAAAAGAAGTCCATATAAATTTTGTAGTTGCTAAACTAATAAGAAGTTTTCTGCATGTTTTAAAACTCTCTAATTCTTTAACATGTTTATGAGAGGCTGCTGCTATTTTGTACCCTGAACCAGATTAATTCAGTCCATGTCTTCTTTTGCAATTTCTTTATAATTAATTTTAATAATATCCAACCTATGCCTAAGCATTTCATATGGTCTCTTTCCTTTGGGTTTTCTGACTGGTAGTTTATATGCATTTGTCATAATTCACTGTGTGCATTATGTGCTCCTCCTATCTTAAGCAATTTTTTTTATCTGTCAAGACGACAGGTCCACAGTCTCTTCCAAAAAGTTCCTCCACTTAATGCGATCTAGAGCTTCCTCCTTCAAATGAGAATATCCTCTTCTGTCCCCAAGGTCATCCAGCATCTTCATATGTCTTCTTCCTTGTCTTCTGGTCACTTCTATCTGCCCATCTATCTTTCCTTCAATAACTTCTTTGGAAAGAGACTATCCAGGAAAAGTGATAATGTGGTAGTTTTTCCATTTGCTTTCCACATCGCAGTACAGCAGCCGTTCAAACCACTCTGGTCACGCCTGTTGCTATACGAACTTGAACCATCTCAAGCATCATTTGCTCTGTGCTTCAAGTCGCTGCTGATGACGCTGCTTCCAGCATCAGTTTAAGCACTTTCTATATAACATAAAATGGCTGAATGCCACCTGATTTAGAATGGAAATCGTGGTTTCACCTACGCATATTTATACTTCATGGAGTCCCTTCAGTTTTCATTTTGATTATTTTCTATGCCTCATTTGTACCTTATGACATTTTATTTTATTTTTTAATTCCCTCATTTCTTTTAGGTTAGTAACACTGTGAATGAGAAGAGTCCAAAGGGTGAAACATACATCCCAATAGACTGGTCGCTGAAAACAAAGGTGCGTTTTATGTCCCCAAAACCATTTGCTTGGAGCCAGAAGCTGCGTACATGTGAAGAAGCTTCAGGAATTACAGGGTTTGTGAAAAATATGTATTTGGCTTTATTATGATTAGAAATTGCAGAGCCAGGATGGCTCAGTTGATACAATGATGGAATTTGGCTTTATTGGCCAAGGAGCTGGGGTTCAATTCCTGACAGATGGAAGAGATTTTTCTCTTCTCCACAGCATCCAGACCAGCTCTAGGGCCCACTCATTCTCTTATCCAGGAGGTTCCAGGGGTACCTTGTTTGGAGTGAAGTGGCAGCTGACTACTGATGTCTATCTAGTGCCAAGGTTAAGAATGGTGGAGCTATACCTCCACACTCCCATATATCTTCATGGTGTGGTGCTTAATTAATTATGTACAGTGAAAAATGTACCTGTTTGTAGTTTGAAAATGTAAGCTAGTTCTGCAGTTTCAGAGTCGTGTTAAGAACGTGAACTGTGCGAGTTATTTTTGTTTAAATTTGGTTGGCATGATTTGACATAATATGTTGTTCATATGTCTAATATTTATTCACAAGATGTTGTACGGAATCTCTTCGAACTTCATTCTGTCCTAATAAATGCAGTCCCATGTGTTCCATCAAGCTAGAAGTCTGACACACCATAATGAATTATAATATTTTCAACCATGTTTGTGGTGATTAGCACCACAGCATGGATTGTCCTCAGTATGTGCAAATATGAGGTGGTACCCAAATATTATGAGAATATGTTTATAAGTAAAGGTTTGTTTAAGTAACAAAATTAAAGTTGTCCCTTTATATGTTAATAACACCGAGCCCAGTGATTGTGCTGTTGTTGGAGGTAGACCTGAGGCTCTTCTTTTGTAATACCGTTAAGTACCTGCTGAAAAGTTTGCTGATTCTTCAAGAACACCATGAAATCTCTTTCCTTCGCTCCAGCTTCAGTTCCATCTTTGTACAGCAGGGATTGATATCCACACAGTAAAAAGGAGGAGACATGCAGCCATTAATTTTTGCAATGAACTGTTGATCAGACTGGGCAGTATGAACAGGTGCATTGTCATACTGAATCAAGCAGTATCCTCTTTGTCGTCTCTCTGAACATTTTTGATGTTTTCACATAAATGCCATAGCACATATGTGTAACAGTGCTAATTAATATTTTGTCTTGGGTGATTGAATGTGTAATGCACAGGTCTGTCTCTGGTAAAAAGTGGTCTTCATCTATTGCTGTGAAATAATACATTTGTGTAACAGAGTCGAGTGGTAGTTTGGCCTGGATGAACACATTTGTAATGAAGAACTTCATCAGAATAGAACAAATGATTGACATGCATCACTGTAACATAATTCTGACCTGGAAACATTACACGTCAAATGCAGTAAAGAAATAGAGCATAAATTTCTCACCCTTGCCCCCTCACTCCTGGTGAGGGAATAATTAAAATACCAGTCATATATGCAGCTTCAAAATAGTTATCGCATTACAGACACTTGGGGAAAATTTCATCCGAATCAGTTCTCATGCACTGAAAAATGTGATGTAAAAGAAAAAGGTAAAGCTATCCTTGTAACAGGTTGTGGAGGCCCATAGGGTTGTGAGATGTCGAGGCTCCCACATTTCCAAACCTTTGGCTCACAGATGGTGATGAGGTCAGTTTTACGCGTTGGTAGCCCTTTATCCCCAGGAAGATTCCTGGTATTGATTTCTGTTAGAGGCTGAAACAACCCCAGGGCATAGCGTGGCTGGAAGGATCCGATCAATTGAAAAATCAAGTGACCTGATCGGGAATTGAACCTGTGGCCTCCCGGCTTGTAGCATAGTGCCTCAACAAACTATGCTATTGCGTGCCCCGGGAAAATGGGACGTGTAGGTGGGAACTAAGGCATGTTAGCTCATCTCTGTGAGACTCCATGTTCTGCATCTGGCTGATAAGTGCTTGCAGTTCACACTGTTAGTTACCTCTGTAGAAGCTGGATCTAGTTAGCAGCTCAGACTTTAAAGACTGCATGAAGCATTGAAGTTATGTGAAAAACAATGCAATATATTTTATGTAAAAATTAAAATAAAATGTGTAATAGTACTGCCATTCATGGCATTACTGATCAGAACACATGGATTTGTTATTGTTTATAAAATGTTGTTTTATAAGTTTTTTTTTCTTTTGCAACTGTTTATTCTTGTTCCAGTTTTGTGCGTTGTTTGGATACAGGGCTGGATGCAAGCAAGGACCCTTATACATCTCGCTCTCTTGACACAAGTCCTAATGCTCGTTTCCACCAATGCTGTCTTGTGTGGCAACATCCTGCGCTACCTTGGTTAGAACTGTTTCCTCGTTCAGCAACCCGTTTGAGTTCTACAACCAGCAGTATGATATCCTCTTCGCAGAACCTTAGAGATGCTTTGCATCGAGAGTGGGGAGAGAGCTTCCGTTCTCTGTTTCAAGTAAGAAAATTTTGTTTGTTTATTTGTTTAAAACAATGCAACACCAGTATGTTTAGGTTTGTCTTTACCTTTACAGTGGACACCTCATTCAGTTCTCCTTGATTTGAGCTTTTCATTTATTTAATGTTAAATGTAATTGTTCCAAACCCAGCAATTTCACAATTAAATTAGTTTCGTTTAAGATTTTCTGTTTCCTGGAAGCAGCCTTAAAATGGAGTTTCACTGTAGTGTCATAAATCCAGTACTAGCATGCTGGAGTGTAACATGGTTGTGGTGTTATCCTCTGTTGTCAGAACTTCGGTTTCCATGGCTCTCTCCCCTTCTGCTGCTTGTAGAGACATATGACTTACCAGAATAAATGGCATGAATTAAGTTAGTGAGATCTGATTAACTAGAGCACTTAACAATAGTGGAATTGTTTGGTAAATGTATAGAAACACATGATGTTTCCTGAACACATGTGCCAGTTTGTTTCTCATCTGCTTCAGTGCTCCCATTGCTGTCAGTAAAAAAGTAATGTAAAATGCTTAAAAATTATTTAAGTTATTTTTAAATTATCATGCTGTGGTTACTTTTGTTTTGCACATATGTTGTGGGTCTGGTGTATGTTTTTGTGGTGTATTGGTTTCTTTTCTTTACTCTCTGTGTAGCTGTTCCAATTGTTTCATGTAGTGGTTCTATTTTTAAGGGGGGAGGTAGGGTGTATGTACTGCTAACTGATATTTATTTCCTGCAGTTTTTTGAATACAGTAGAACTTGGTTATAACGTCATCAAAGGGACCTAAAAATAGTGTCGTTATAAACGAATGTCGTTGTAACCGAAATGGGCACTTCCACAGTAGCCTTATGTTAGTCACGTAAAAATCTACCAAAAACCGAGTTAAAATGTTGCATTTTTTAGTGAAATACGTAGTTAAGTACAGACTAACGTAACATTAACGTGGAACTGCCCAAATGTGTAATATCAAAGACATATTACAGCGCTTTTCACTGACAATACACACAATATTTCACGAATCACTTTAACTTTCTCTTCAATGCTTAAAACTTTCCTTTTCATTGCCATGTTTTCGCTACTGCACTTCTCTGGGTTTAGGCAGGAACACTATAGGGTAAGTAGACAATGTGAGGTCCTGTTAGACGAGATTCTAGGAAAGGAATGCAGTTAACAACCTGCCGCGTCCTCTTGCACTATTCACGCAGTCCCACCCCACACCCTTGTTTTCGCATAAAACCCACGCTCCTCTTGCAGCCCGCGGTCGTATTCTTCCAGGACAGTCACATCAGCAAGTAGAGAAAGTGAGGGTGGGCAGACACATCGAACTTTCCCACGATATCAGAGAAATTCAGGAATGAAAATGACGTTACATACAAGGTTGATGCATTTGTGCATGTCGTACTAAGCAAGGTATAAAAACAGTTGCTTTATGAGGAATTAGTTCGTACCATTGAATATTTGACGCAATAGACAAGGTGTCGCAGAAACCGATGTTGCTATAACCAAGTTTTACTGTATTAGGTCATGTGCATCAATGATTATGTCATTCATGTTTAAGTTATTTTTATTGGTTTTATATATATTGTATTTTTCTAATAAACTTCCTTTTTTATGTGTTACTATAATGTTCATTGCATCTGTTATGGTTCCATATATACATGTCCCATTTTAGTGCGTCACTTGAGTATCCTGATTTTTTTTTTCTTTTGGTGCTGCAGCCCCAATATGGGCCTTGGTCTACCTCCAGTGGGTGACCTACTTGTCGCAAGACCTCTGCCTGCACACAAACACAAAAACAAAAACACACACACTAAACATGCATGCCCTGATTGGGATTCAAACCCATGATCCCAGCTTCTGAGCCAGCAAAGACAGTGCATATCTTAGATTGTGTGGCTGCTGTGACTGGCGAGTATCTTGAATTTCTCTTTTTATTTCTAATTGCTTGTGCGTGTTCCTTGTATTCCCCCTACATGAAAACAGAACCACTGTAAGAAACAACCAGAGCACTCACAGCACTCACAACACAAAGGAAGGAAACCAAGACACCAGAAAACATACACCAGACCCACAACATGTGTGCAGAGCAGAAGTAACCACAGCGTGATAATCTAAAAAGTAACTTGAAATAAAATATTTTGTAAACATTGTACATTACTTATAAACTGCAAAATACAATAGCATAACAAACAGAGTAGCAGTTTTCATCTACAATCCCATATACCTGAAGTTGGCCAGTTAGCCAAAACATGTAGTGCTAATAAATAATAAAAAGAGACAAAGAGCCTTTGAAGTGTGAATTTTAATATATAGATGAAGTTGCACAGAGACAGTGAAGTGAGAATTCTAAAATTAGTGATGACAGTTTTGATCAGATGCAAGACATTTTGAATACTAGGGTAGTGTTCTGACTATTAGACCATTAGGCTGGGCCAGAAGTGGATGTTGTTATAACTCTACTTGTATTGACTATGTACTTCCTCTTTTGTATTTGAAGAGTCAGATGGAATGATTACTGTTTTTGGCCCACATTCATTATGATTTAAATGGATGAATACAGGGTGTTTCACGACTTTAGGGCATAACTGCATGAGGTGATTTCCTAGGTCTATGTGATCAAAAAAGTTCATATAAACATTTAACGGACGAAGAATAGTTGCTGCAAGGAGTAGCCGAAATAACAGGAGACACTGCAAGTAAAGCAACGGGAAGGAAAAGGAACGTGGGTGCATCGTTAGGCTATTCGGGACGAACAGCCGTAAGGAGGGAGCAGTGTGACGTGTTGCGCTATGCAGGACACCCCTCCCTCCCCAGCGGTGATGTAACACTTTCGGGGTGTCGAAGTTGCTACGGTAATAAGCCAGTCAACATCCTGCCTCTCCCCCCGGTGACGTAACACGGGATGCCGCCGATGCTACACAGCAGTAAACAACTCCCGACAGCGTTGCTAGCAACACGGCACCAGGCAACAGGGGTGCCTACTACGTGGCTGTTTTCTGTGTTGTCCGGAATGGGGCTAAATAAGGAGCAGCGAACGCTATTCACAGTTAGTTCCGAGTTAGCCAGCAGTTAGTTCTCAAGTTCTCAAGTTACGAGTTACGAGTCAGCCAGGCAGTCAACCAGCATTTGCAGTGTAGTATTTGTGATACTGCCGATGGCAGTAATTGTCAGATTGTAATTTGTGTGATTGTAAGAGTGAATGTGAAATAAAATTCGCTATATCAATACGATGTTAAATTATTTGTCGTGTTATACACTAAACATGTCACCGCGGGGAGAGGCGAGGTGTTGTCTGGCTTATTACCGTAGCAACGGCAACGCTCCGAAAGTGTTACGTCACCGCTGGGGAGGGAGGGGGGTCCTGCATAGCACAACACGTCACATAAACATGTGTCTGATTTTGGACGGTTACGGAGTTATGATGGTTTTAAACTCAGAATAGAAGGTAATGATTACTGACAATAAACGGAACAAAATAATAAACCAGCATAATACATGATACATTTAAAGTATGAATGTAAAGTTAACTTCGTGAAATTACCATTAATTTGAATTTATTGGTGCTTAAAGCTGATTTTCGAAAATGCCACCGCTGGCCGCAACACAGGCTGCTGCTCGGTTGTGAACCGGGCGGACATACCAACCCACCCCGCCTTAGGTGCCTCTCNGTAGCTCTCAAGTGTCGGGATAATGAGAACACTCTGTCTGTAGCTGGCTAAAAATAGCGACCCGCCAGATGACAGACGCGGTGTACGGGAATGAAAAAACGGTCATAACTCCGTAACCGTCCAAAATCAGACACATGTTTATACGAACTTTTTTGATCACAAAGACTTAGGAAATCACCTCCTGCAGTTATGCCCTAAAGTCGTGAAACACCCCGTATATTCATAAAAGAGTAAAGAATATTGTATTTTATATTGCAGTTGACACGTGCTCAGCAGTGCCCATATTTCTATGTGTGTGCCAACAGTTTCACATGTCTCTTCCGAGCTGCAGGTATTCTTGGTTTCACAGATATCCATGCTCTTCTCACTCCAACAACAAGAGGATTTCGGCATATGCTAAAGGAAGAAGGTAGTTCTACAGTTACTGGAAAAAATATGTACTTAAAGTGTACATATTGTTCTGATTATAATTCAGATATTAAAGAGTATTACATGTTTTTAAAACTTTTCCTGCCAACCTAAAGCATACCATTACTTAAGCATGAAATATGAAGGCTATTTTTAAAGTAACCTCCGGTGAGCTCTTAAAAAAAACAAGCAATGAGAGAAAAAGAAATGTTATTATCTACAAAAAATATGTACTTGCTTAAGGTACTTCTCAGTGTAGTTACTGCCAGAATTGAAGCATTTGTCATATTGGGGAATAAGTTTTTATATGACTGTGCCAAAGAAATCTGCTCCCTGTGAGCTCAGCCACATTTTGACACCTTCCATCAGCTCCTCAGTATTGTTGAAGCACTGTGATGCCAACCAGTTCTTCAGCAGGTAAACAGGTGGTAGTCATTTGGAGCAAGATCAAGGTTGTAATGAGGGTGGTCACACAACTCCCAGTCAAAATGTTCCAGCAGTGCTCGAGTGTCAGCAGCTGTGTATGGATGTGCATTGTCATGGATGAGCACTAGACCATGTGTCAGCATTCCACACCTTTTGTTCTGAATTGCCAGCATTATGCAATTTTTTAGTGTTTTTCAGTACACTTCTGACGTTCTTGTGGTCCATTGTTGCATGAATTCCATCATCATCACTCCTTTTCTGTCCCAGAAAACAGATGCCATCATCTTTCTGGCAGGCAGACAACGTTTATTTAAAAATTTTCAGCTTGTTTGGTGAATGTCTCTGCATCCACTACTCTCTGGTTTCAACATCCACAAATGAAACCCAGATTTCATCACCTGTTACATGTATGATGTGATTGAGATATTCATCGTGGTATCACTCTGAAAAAAGTCAAAGCTGAAGGAAGCCATTCTCTGCATTTTATATGCGTTCATGAGCGTTTTTGGAACCAATCTTGTGCAAAAGTTATGATAGCCTAGCCTAACTAAGATAATCTCATATAGAACATTTTGTGAAATTTGTGTATATTCACATGGAAGTTCTGAAATTGTGATGTGCCGCCTTTCACAAATTTTAGGGGCAACGCTTTGAACAAGGTCATCACTCACTACAGATGGCTGACCACTTCGCTCTTCATTGTGGACAACTGGTCATCCATCTTTGAACATTCTACACCATTGCCTTAGAGTTCCTTCACTCATTACATTTTGGCCGTAAACTGCCGCACATAATTCACAATGCATTTCCGCAGCAGTCATGTTTATATCATGGAAAAAGTTGGTAACCCCACCAGTTTTGCAGCTGGTGGGATTATCAATTGCAGGACACATCAGAAATCATTCTAGAGACAAGAACAAACACTAGATGACCAGTTTTGTGATGGTTTGCAAAGGCTATGAGTCATGTGACGGTACCTCGCATGTGCGAACTGCCCCCCATTCCTACATTAATTGCGTAAAATAAACGGAAATGACTTTTGTGAGTAGCCCTTGTATTACATGCCAACCATGAATGTATTCATTGATTGTGATGATCCATTGATGATGGTGTGTAAAGCTTTGGGATTACTGAGTTTTTGGATTTTGTCTAGACAGTGGACATAGTCCAAAACTCATTAATTGTGACTGGATATACTTACCTCCTACTTATTAAATTTTATTGTTCATACCTAGTAATTCCATAAAAATAACTTTTTTGATATTTTTATCTTTGCTACTTCAGATTTCAATTTCTGAAGTATGAAATGAATATCTTGCTTTTTTTCTTTTGCAATTTTATGGCTCCAAAACTTTCTATTATAATTAACACATAATTGATTATACAAATATAACATCAGTGTTACTTCTCTGATGTTTTTCTTGAGACTGGACATGGAGTGGCAGTATGTCCATGGTAACTCCAATTTTAGAATTAATTGGTGAGCAGTATATACAAACACTAAAGTGGCAACAATTTTATGTGGAGATAGCAAAGATAATAGTGATAAAACTGGTTATGAACTGTTGTTGTGGTGAAAATGATATTTGGTGACAAATTCATATGTGATTAAGAGACTAATTAATTTTAGTGTAAACGTTTGAATGTAGTTCAGTTTTATCAACACTAATATGTTTTTGGTTGTCATTATAGATAAAAATTTAATGAGAAAAATATTGTATGTTTTCTGTACTGTTCTTCATGAAGGATGAGAAACTTAGAGTTATTTTTTAGCATCATGTTGCACTGTGTAAATTTTTGGAGCGCGAAAATGCTTAATGCTTTTCAGTGTAAGGTCTAGATGTTTTTATGATGATATATCCTCAGATAGTATGCAGTTTCTATTGTCTCCTGCCTGTCATGTATACACACTGTATGTACTTGTATATTTATTGATGAATAAAATATAACACAGTGACAGTGTGAAATATTTTGGAATACTTGTGATAACTGGTGCATAATTTTAAATTGCTATGTTTAATTTATATGCTGATGTGCACTGATATTACAAGTCATATTAGAAACTGATCCTTTGGAACTCTAAAATTTCAAGCCAGTGGCAAGAAATTTTAATACTTGTTGTATTTATAGATGTGGTGTACATGATGCCACTCAGAAAGTCTACGCAGTCGTCCTTAATGCGTCTGTCATCTGAGAGCGCGAGTGATACTGGTTATGAAACACTGGACTCTGTGATTGATGATCAGTCACAGATGCACAGTTCAACAAGCATGTCACAGCATGCAGATGGACTAATGGAGGGAGATGATGATGATGATGATGATGATGATGAGTCACCGGATGAGTGGCTGGAAAGCAGGGGTGTAGCAGCAGAAGAAATTCGTAGAATTAAATCTAAACAGGTACTAAGTGTTACAATACTCATTCTAATAAATATGTGGAAAATGTTTTTGCAGTTTCAGGTTTAAAATGAAACTGGTTTCATAGCAGAATGTTTTCTTTTATCAGCTGAATTACTATAAAATTCTTATGGAAAACTACCATGGAGTTCAGTGTGACGTATTCCACATACATTGGAGTTCAGATTGTGGCTTTCCGAATTGTGACACCATTTAGTGTTATGGGTAGATTCCAGTATTTCAGAGAAATATTTTGTCACCATCTTTTTGTTCTTTACTGCAATCCTTAAGATGGAGGCAACATGTTCATCCAAAATATCTATCCTCCTACAAGGCTAGGTGGTGTCACAACGCAATAGACAACAGTCTGAACAGTTACCGTTATGAAAAGCGGCCTCCGTAGTCTAGGGATAACGTTCCCACCTCATGACTCAAGGTATGCGGGTTCAAACCTGGTGGAGGTCGTGAAATTTTTAAGGGTGGAAAAATTCAGGGAACAAGTCCTCCGGGAGGGACTTTAAGCCGTGGGTCGCGTGCCGTACATTTACGGCACGCAAAAGATGCTCATGTCTCTAGGAGACCTCTGAGCAAAATTAGGCAAAAAGTTTCCTGCCCAAGTAGTTTCCAATGCCTCTGGTAGATGGGGGAAGCATCGGGTACCGAGGGCTGACCTCGTTGGCTGAACGGGGCTCATAGCACACACCAGTACTGATAGGGTATGGTGACTGGTAGAATATCAAAGGGGGACGTACAATAGACTATTAGTCACAGTGCATGGGGAAACCCACCCCTCCTGTAGTAGTAGTAATAATAATAATAATAATAATAATAATAATAATAATAACAACGTTATGAAGACCTCCAAACTTGTATAATGAAATTGTTTTTAGTACAGTAATGCCTCAGTTACCCTGTGTATCAAATGTTCAAAAATAAGTGACATGTCTCCTAGTATTGGAATTAGGTTATTAAATCTCTGTGATTGAGTGAGTGTACATATCTTTACGCATGGCTGGGGAAAGTGACATATACTGGTCATGTTTAACACTATAAATTTGCATGTGACATGTGTGTATGTTTAACGTTAACTTTCAATTTAATCAGGCTTGCATGAACATGTACCAGTTTTGGTGAGGTCACCAATTGCATTGACTGAAGTTTTTCATGGTTTTTCGCAATCTCTTCAGGCAAAAGCTGGGAAGTGTCATGAAATAGGCCACCATCACTCACTTTTCAATCCTCTGAACTTCACTGAACATGAAGAACGTCGTCTTCTGGGTTTAGGTGCCGTGTATTCTTCGTTTTGGCCGACGTTTCGGAGGAACGTATCGCCTCCATCTTCAGAGCACTTGAATGGCTTGGAATGCAGAGAGCAGTAGCTGTAGTGATAGGAAGTGAAAGGCGCTGCTTATATACGAAGTAGGCAGGGGGGTGGTTAGGGAAATTGGACCAATAGGAGCAGTGGAGAGCGATTAAGGCCATATATGGTGTAGTTTGGTAAGGGAGGCGGGGGGGAACGGCCAGTGAATCCAGGAAACTGAGGTCAATAGCACTAGGAAGTTGCGGTAGACAAGAAGAACCAGTTGGTTGGGGACAGGCTACTGACATCAATGACATGATTACAGGGGACAGGCTACTGACGTCAATGACATGAAGAACTGGTGTGGCTTGTTGGATTTCTCTTGAGGGAAGAGCTGAGAGGCTTCCATGACTTGTTGAGATTGAACCCTGTTTCTTTGTTCATGTTGTTTGGATGGAGCTCGATCTCAACGGCCTCCATGATTATGCGATCTAGGTAACGGCTCTTACTGGTGATTATGGCGGTTTTGTGAAACTGGATACGGTGGTCTAGCTCGATGCTGTGTTCAGCTACAGCTGACTTGTCCGGACAAGTCAGCCGTAGCTGAACACAGCAGTTCTGTTATTGTTTTATTATTTATTATTTCATTTTATTTACAGTTTTTTATTGTAATTTTTACATCTTTAGACAGCAGATGATAAGACAAAAGGTTCCTGACTGAATGGTCGCAAGCAATACTCTAATTCTTGTAGATGATTAATGTTTTGTAAAATAGATTTTTGTTAGAAAAGTGTCTGGGATATAAATGTTGATGTAAAGTGTAAGTTTTGATGTGTTTTTTTCTTCAAGGTAAAGCTTGAGCAAGACAAAGAAAAGGAAGTAGATCGAACTCCAGAATCCCTAATTTATGTTGAAGGTGTTGAGGCACAAGCACTGTTTAATTTCTTGATGAATTGCAAGTCTTCCACTGCAACTACTGGGCCACTGGCAGGGGTTCCACCCACATTGCTTGCCCCTGTTGCTTTCCATGGGGCCACCCTAAAATCACTGAAGGTATTTCATAAAACAGAAATTTTCAGTCTGGCAGTCATATGGAACAAGACTTTCTTTGATGTTGACAGGGCTGAAAAAAGTGCTCCAATAAATTTCTGTAATTTTTTCATTCATTCATTATTATTGTATACATGTTTGTCAAGTCTTGAGCATTTGTAGTTTTGAATGTAAAATGTGAAGTGAATTATGTTGATTCCACATGGAAATTACGTTTATCCAACCATGGTCTTAATTGAAATCTGAATGGAAGATAAAGTATATGTATAACACATACACAACTTAGCAAGTCATTTGTTTTTTATTCAGGAAGCGAGTTTGTCCTGTCATCAGTCAAATGTTAATGTTATATGTTTTATTCTGATGACATACACATATACACTGCAATTTTTGTACAATTTATATGAAACTTCTTAATAAAATTAGCAGTTTAAGAATGATGTATGAAATGCTTAGGGCTCAACAGGCATACATATACAGGGTTACTACAAATGATTCATTCCCTTTCAAAACACTATATTTTCCAAAGTATCACACATACAAATATGATTGATACATGAAAAGAACCGCAAACTCACCAAGTTTGCATTGTGATACACCAGTTGGCAGCATGAGTGCAGTGCCTCACAAAATGGCGACGAAGCTGGAAAAGAGTTTCTGTCTGTTGTAATATGCGAGATGTTCGTCTGTTATTGCAGTGCAGCATGCATTCAGAGCAGAGCACAGAAAAGAACCAGTATATAAACAGATAATTCTGCAGTTGAATCGGCAATTTAAGGATACTGGTTGTCTGTGTAAATGGAAAAGAACGGGGTGACCAATATAGTGTTTTGGAATGGAATGAATCATTTGTAGTAACACTGTATTTCTTCATTATGAGTAAAAATTGCCCATAGGCATGGTCTGTGTGTTAGGAGAACAGGATCACTCAGCCATTATAGCAGATAGGCTGGATGATCAGGATTCGATATCTGGCAGGACAGGAATTTTTCTCTTTGGCACCACTTCTCGGGTCTGTCTGTCTTTCTGTTGAATTGTTACCAGTGGTTCTTTCCCTGTGAATGAAATCACTGAAGTGTTAAGCTGACCACTTATCACCATCTAGTGCCAAGATAAAGAATGCGTGGATGTTTACCTCTGCTTCAGCACTACTTCATGATGTGATGCATAATTAAGCACATGAATAACTGTACTTTTATAATTTGGTATGAGAAAGTTGAGTGCAGCACTGTTCTATCCTGTGAGTTGCTCGATTAACTCAGCACCAGCGCAGCATTGAAGGTTTTAGTAGACATTAATAATTCAGATGTCATATGCAAAAGAAACTAGTAATGTTGCAGAAGTTGCTGTCTTGCAAGTGATCTTGAATGGTGCATGTCAACATCTGTACATTACAATCCGTTGCCAATATATTGAATAAGTGGTAGGTAAGCTTATATGAGGGTAAGTCAATAAGTAAGTTACAAATGGATGTAGAACTTAAACAAATAAGAGTACTGATTTGAAAAATGCTTTTATTTCTCAACATAATCTCCCTGTACATTGAGGCACTTGTCCCATCATTTCACAGGTCCCTGAAAACCAGCAGCATAAAATTCTGTCGGAACCAGGTGGTGACTTCTCTTTCTACAGCTTCATCATTGGGAAAATGTTCAGCCGAAAGATGAGGTTTAAGAGGGCCAAACAAATGGAAGTCGCTTGGAGCAAGACTCATCACCTGTGACAGTTTGGGCTAGCATATCGTGTCCTTCATCGTGGTAGTGATTGAGGTGCTCTAATGCCAGACCCATTCTTTGCATTTTGTGTTGTGGGGTCAGCCTGTGTGACACCATCGTGCATTGACTTTGTGAAAACCTAACCTGTCATGTGACTTCCATTGTTTCAGCCCTCTTAAACATCATCTTTCAGCTGAACATATTCAGGACAATGAAGCTGTAGAAAGGGAAGTCATCACTGCCTGGTTCTGACAGCAGCTCAAAGAATTTTATGCTGCTGGTCTTCAGGGGCTTGTGAAACAATAGGCCAAGTGCCTCAGTGTACAGGGAGATTATGTTGAGAAATAAAAGCATTTTTCAAATCAGTACTCTCATTTGTTTAAGTTCTATATTCATTTGTAATTTACTTATTGACTTACCTGTGTAATTATATGTAAATTCAGAAACAAACTCTAGTCTGTCTGGCTTGGAAACTGTGTACTTGCCAAACTAACAGAATTTTACATGGCCAGTGAAGATTTTTATGCTACCTAAATAGTTAACCATTGGTTCTAACTCTGTGTGAATTAAAGTAATTACTTTTATCGATCAGATGAGTTCTACCACTGATACAAAGAAGAAAAATACTTCATGCTCCATAAAACTATCGTGTGTTCTCCGTGTTCAGGACTTTTTATTATCCTAAACAAGGGTTACTTATATTTAACAGTATGAAAGCTAATCAGAATTCATAAGTGGCTTCCCCTTTGCTGGCAGCTTGTAATGCAGAAAACAGTTTTATTTTGCTGTACTTAGTCTGTTGAAAGAAAAGTCTATCATGATCTATATCATTTATTACATTTTGAATTTGTCAATAGATTTCTTCTTCCTCTTCCTACTGCCACTACCCCTTTTCTTATTCTTTATGTATTCTCTCTTCTTTGTGTAAATCTGTTCACATCTGCTGCATTAATGTGTTGGCCTGTAATTGGTTGTTCGTTGAAGAGTCCTTGCTTCTGATGTATAATGCTGTGTTGTCTGCTGAAAGTTTTGTCCCAAGAGACAGGACTCTTCATAACCATTGTTGTGACACCCTCAAATCCTACATGGCATTTGGCTATCATCAAGCACTTTAATAAATGAATTGCTACTTCATCATCATCAGCTGGGGCTTTTGTGAACACAATAATAAATCATAGGGTTCCATTAAAGGTCGAAAATTTCTTGATTACGTGAGCGACTGTTAGCTTGTCAAGAAGGACTCTTATTAGCTGTTATTGTTCATTTTTAGGTTCGGCAGAGTGTTGTCAAAGTTGACATGGAGAACTTTCATTCAATGGAACTACGTGGTCCAATCTTACCTCACGCTCTTCAAAACCTGTGTAGCTTGCTGGAGGAGTCATTAGATGAGTTTTCCGCAACCTTTGCTAATTTGGAGTCTACTCGGCCATTTTCACTTGTAACTAATGTGACTGTGGATAATCCAGAAACAAATGAATCAGTTGGTAAGTTTAATTATAAACTGCCGTTTTTATTTGCATAATTTATTCTCAGTTCAGCTGCTTGTAATAGCCGTTGAATATGATTTGAGGAATCCTTCATGGCTTCTGATGGCAATAATGCTGTAAAACAAAATGTCAAATTAATCTTAGTGTAAGGGCTTAAGCTGAATGGCCAGGGTTCGATTCCTGGCAGGGGCAAGAAATGTTTCTATACTGCACAGCATTCAGACCAGCTCGGGGGCTCACCCAGCCTTCTGTCCAGTGGTTACTGGGGACTCTTTCCCTGGGGATAAAGTAGCTGGTTGTGAAGCAGACCACTCCCACATAGTGGAAGGTCCGAAATGGTGGAGCTGTACCTCCACTCACCTATATATCTTCATGGCATGGATAGACTGAGTATGAGTAGGGCAGCAGATTTGAATGGAAACATTCTATAATGTTATTTCCTGTAGCTACTCAGAGCCAGGACAGCTCATTCAGTATAGTAACTAGCTAGAGTTTGATAGCCATCATAGGCAAGGATTTCTTCTTTTTGTCAGCGTGTCCAGACTGACGCTGGGGCCCACTAGGCCACAACCTGTGGATAGCTGGGAGTGAACTGGATGGGGTGGAAAGCTGACCACACATTACAATCAAGTGCTAGTAAAGAATGCATGGAGCTATTCATCCATTTCCCCATGTGATTTATTAAACACTGGGATAAATTTGTCTTTATTGTATTGAATCTCTTAGCACAATACTTGACAAAGTTTTGAACAGCAATCTGCAGCATGTAATAGGTGACTGACTGTGCTCTAAGAGGATCTAGGTTAGCTCAGTTGGTATAGCAACGGTCTGTGGGCAGGATGGTTGGGGTTTGATTCCCGGCAGTGGCAAGAGATTTTCCTATACTCCACACTGCCCATACTGGCTTCGGTGCTCACCCATACATCATCATGGCGTGGTGCTTAATGATATGTTTCTTCATGTTGGGAGTCAGACTCCAGAAAGAAACACCATAAAATCCTACATGGTTTGCCATGAAAATCTGAAAATTTACAAGGTTGGTTTTATTAACTGTTGTATTACAGATTGTATGAAGTCTCCTGAGAAGTCCAGCAGTTACAGCACTTCAGTGCAGACACCCAGCAAAGCATTTGTGCCTGCTGTTTTTGGGAAGGAGAACCTCAGTGACTGTGGACTCCAGCCTTCAGTACTGGAGAGGTTTTGTTGTTCAGACACAAGTAGAATTTGTACATTGGATAGCCTCAGATTAAATTTAGATTCAACATATTCGTGGTCATAAAGCTTGGGATTGGACCATATTTTAGTCCAGTGTCTGTCTGACTGTGTTCACTAGAAGACCTTTCATTCTGCAGAGATGAAACTGATAGTGGACAAAGCATAAATGTGTCTTACTTGATGAATTCCCAAGACATTGCAAATGAAGTTCATCGAAGCAGTAAATACTGTGAAATATTTTAAATTGGAATCCTCAGATTTAAGGGGCACACAGTAGTGTCACATATTGGGCGTATATCGCGACAAATGACTTCACGCCGTATTTTATATAGCGAATTTTATTTCACATTCGCTCTTACAATCACCCAAATTACAGATTGACGATTACTGCTATCTGCAGTATCACAAATAGTACACTCCAAATGCCAGAATACAACTGACTAGTTGCTGGCTAACTCGGAACTAACTCGGAGGTAGCTCGAGGACTCACTCGGCGGTAGCTCCAGGACTGACTGTGGATAGTCTTCGCTGCTCCTTATGTAGCCTCGATCGGACAATTGTCGTCTGGTGCCGTGTTGCTAGCCACGCTGTCCGGAGTTGTTGACTGCTGCCTAGCAACCGCGATATCCCTCAGTGACGTCACCGCTATTGACTCGCTTTGCATAGCTTCAAGGTTGCGGGGACTCGGCTAACGTCGGCTCCGCTCGTGACATCACTCGCCTATTATGCGAGCGCTACGTTACCGCTATGTGCAGCTGGGGAGGTAGGGGTCAACATGTCACAGTAGTGTAGTTGGTTTAGGCATTATGCTACAAGCCGGAAGGTCGCAGGTTCAGGTCCCAGTGAGGTCATTGGATTTTTTCATTTGACCTAATCCTTCCAGTTGCGCTATGGCCCTGGGGTCTACTCAGCCTCTAACAGAAATGAGTACCAGGAATTAATTAATTAATTTTCCTGGGGAGTAAAGTGTGGCCGGTGCATAAGGCTGACAACCTTACCGCCATCTTTGAGCCGATTTCCTGTATAATGTGGGACCCTCAACGTTACGGGGATAGCTTTACTTTTTTTTTATCCTGAGATTTAATAATTAGTCTACTCTTTTTACAAAATGATAACTGGAACAATATTTTTAATGTGTTTGATGACGAATATATGAACTTCAAATTGCCTAATTTTGAATTATCCAGTTTTTCACTTTGGACTTTTCCTGCAGAAGTAATGATGTAACAATACAGTATAAACATAATTTTTTTAAATAAAATGTGTGAACATGTGTTTCTATTACAAGCGTTTAAATTTTACTTAATGAAATCGCAGATACTTTGCATGAACAACAGTTTACATGTATCAGAACTAATCACAATGTTAGGTTGCTGTTTCAGAAATGTCTTTGTTTCAAAAAGCTGTTATGTGAAGGATTGCAACCAAGAGGTGACTAAGAAACAGGCATGTTAAGTCATAGAACAACTGAAAATTCTGAGAGCAGTATTTTATTTTTCTCTCAGTTATTTAAGAAAGTTAGAAGACACAGACATTGCACTGCATAAAGAGGAGGAATGACACCAAACTAATTATCATGCCAAAAAGATATTAATAATGTCTGGCTTGAAATTAAACCTGGTTGACATGCATTTCACCCGGAGCCCACTGGTCAAATTCCTGAAAGCAGACAAGTACCACACTTTGAAAACAATATTGTTAAGCATAAGTAAGATAATGTGGCGTGTATACCCATTTCTAGGCAGTGGGTTGGTAAACACATTTCCTTGAAAGCAACATGCTCAAGAATGGGACAGCTGTCGCTAAGTAACGGACCAGTAAACACGCACTCTTGAAAACAGAAGGCTATGGTTCTGTGGGATCCGTGCAGAGTGGTTATAAGAGAGACAAGATCCGAAGCCGGCAGTTGTAGGAATATAGAACAGTAATCAAGAGTCGTCAGAGTTGACAGCTGCAGGAAATGGCAAGAAAGAAATTAGACTGTGCCAAGAAGACTTCATGTGTGAGTTGAAGTTACTGTGAGACTTTGATAAATTTGTTGCCAGGATACGACTGATGAAGACTGAGAATCCTATTGCACTTATAACGATGAACTGGAAAGTGTGTAGAATAGCGATACTGCTGTATTACCTGTAGTCCCAAACTGTGTGAATGTATAAGGTGCAATAAATCTAATCATCCAATACAGAATCCGTCTTATAAGTCACCCCTATGCATGACAATATTTTACTTGAACCTTCTACCTAAATTTGTTGTAACTCTTTACGGTTGAGATGAAAGACAAACCTGCCAAAGAGATGGCCATTGTCAGTAAACACAGGTGGCACTCAGGCTAGAAGTGAGAGGGTAGAATTACCCTGTTGCTGAATGGGGTCATTGTCCTTGCTTCCAAGGAAAACTGATGTCAGTGGTTGTTAAGACAAGTGATGATAGATGGGAGTATGCAACCTCTTTATTAACCATCACAACACAACAAATATCAAGGTTAGTGCCCAGCTACGGCTGTGCTACATGTTTCAGTTATCAATAGCCATCATCAGGCAAATACATGGTTAACATATGCACCACTGAATTGCAGTACTGTTAAACTGGATGCAATACTATTAATCATATAAAACACTGGATGTAAAAATTACAAATAATCAGTTTATATAAAACAGAAGTTATATTGTAAAACAAGAATAAAACTTTAATTGATGTTTTATAACATCAAATCAATCGTTGGTTTTGTAATTTCGTACGTTCCCATGGACAAATTGGAATATTCTATATTTTTCTTTTTCTGTATAAGATTGTATAGGAGGCTGTGTGGCAGTGTAATGTGACGTATAGACCCATTGACAGACTTTCATGTAACAATAGAAGAGCTGTGTTTTCTGTTGGTCCATGCTGAGATGTTATAACTAAGAAAAGTTTAGGAAGTAGTCAGTTATAAATCATTCTGTGAAGCGAAAACATGGAGTACAGTTCTTTATTAGTGTCCATCGCAACACAGCAGTACAATGGTCAAGGCTAAAATTAGCTTAGCTACATGTTTCTCCTATTAAAGCCATCATCAGGGCTTTGGTGATGGCTTTAATAGCGGAGACATGTAGCTAAGCTACTCTTATGGCTATTAAAACCATCGTCAGTGCTTTGATGATGGCTTTAATAGCCGAAACATGTAGCTAAGCTAATTTTAGCCTTGACCATTGTATTGTTGTGTTGTGGTGGACTCTAATAAAGAATTGTATATAATAACACAACAGGATGCAAAAAAAAAAAAAGATGTGGAGGTTGGCGTGAGATGGCTGCCAGGCTGGGAGTTAGTCAGTTGGAGCAGCAGTGCAGTTGTGTGATGTTCGTTGGACAATAAAGACATGAGCACAGAAGCTGAGTAATCTCCACTGTTGAGATCCATTACCAGGAAACGACTAAGGAACGCAGACTGAGAAGACTTAGCATGTGCTCTGGTGATTTGTAAAGTGTGGAGATTAGTGATAGTGTTATAGTTATGTGCACTTACGAGTTCTGTGTTTAAGTGCTCACTAAATCGAGTCGGCAGTCCAAACCCCATCTATAGTCACTCATACATGTGACAGTATGTTTGTTGTAACAAGTGCATTAAACGGTCTTAGTATAATTTTAATGAAGCTTGCTGTTAACCCATATTTCTGCTGCCTAAAGATTCTGATGATGAGGTGAATGAGCTTGAAGCAATTATTTTTAATCATTGTTTCTTTCCTTCAGTTCAAGCCAGTCCCAAAGTCATTAACCCGATATGCTGATGTCAGATAAATTCCGTCAGTCACGCACCCTAAACCCGGCCATCCGCCAAGCAGAACAGCAGCTACATTCCATCTGTAACACATGCCAAGATGGCTCAACCAGCTAGCAACATCTGACTGCGTCAGCAATATCTGAGAGGTGGATACAGCATCATTATCAGGCTGATTAAAAACTGATTAAATGTTATTTAGTCGTCGTCCTCCCTCCCCCTTTGACATTACAGCCCTGGGTGGGCATTAGCCTTCTTCAAGAGAATCTTCCATTCGTCTCGTCAAGCGGCCATCACCTTCCATCCCCTACCTCCTACGCTTGCAGCCTCCTCTTCAAGTTACTCATCCAATCTTAATTTGGGTCTTCCTCTAGGTCTGCCTCCTGGTTCCAGCATTGGCACTTTGCAGGGTCCTTGTCACTCATATGCATCACATGACCATCCCATTGCAGCCTGCATAATTTCACAAATTTAACTATGTCATGATCATGATATAACTGATAAAGTTCATAATTGGTTCTTCTTCGCCTCTTTCCTCGAAAATGAGAGGGTCTGCAAATTTTACGCAATTTTTCCTTTTGAAGTGCCCTAATTGCATTTCATCCTGTTCATCAAGGACCAAAGCCTCTGCTCCATATGTCAGTACTGGCCTTATCAAGGTTTTATATATTGTCACTTTCAGATTTCTAGGAAGGGTCCTAGATTTCAAATGTTTCATAAGTCCAATATAACCTCTGTTTAGCGATAGTTAAATGTGTTTTCATTTCCACTATTCTGTTATTTTCTCAGTTGATCTTAGAACCCAGATACCTGAAATTATCAACTCTATGGAAGACATATTCGCCCAAAGACAAATGATTTGGGGAAGTTTTCTTTCCTTCTGGTATACATATATACCATCTTCTCTTGGTTAAGCACCAGTCCCATTTTGTGATCTGATTTTTCAAGGGATGTAAAATAAATCTTTAAGACCTGTCATAATGCAAGACATGATGTTAGTATCATCTGTGTAGGCCAGTATCTGAATATTTTTCTGAGCATATAGTGGTGAGGGGGTTTGAGTATGCCAAGGACCCTGAGAGCTATACCAGCGGTAGCGTAGCTACCGGCAGGGCCTCCCTTGCTGGACAGGTCAAAGGGTAGG